GTCTGTTAGTGATAAGGGGGGAGAGTTCGTAGTTATCCCTCGCTAGCTGGATGTTGAGATAACAGAGGAACATCTTAGTGATGCTACTCTCTATCGCCCATCCTCTGAAAAGGAATATAAAAGTCAATACCGAAAGCTAAACAATCAATGGATCAGCGTGGCAAAGGCTGCGGGTTTAAAACCATCGGTTATTTCGCACTTTAAAATCGATAGAACAACATGTCCCGTCCTATACCTACTTATTAAAACACCTAAGTTGGTATCACCTGATGATCATACGTCAACCAATCCGTCATCATTTAAGGTTAGACCGATCATCAGCTGTGTAGACGGGCCAACGGATAGAATAACCTGGTTTTTAAGCCTGATACTTACCCAGTTGCTTAACCACATTCGAGCTCACCTAACGAGCACCCAAATGCTCCTAGAACGTCTACGTAACGCGTCTCCTAATAACGCGTACGTGATGGAGTTTTTCGACGTTACCGCACTGTACACCAACGTGTCGAATGACTACGCAAAGCAAGCCATCTTCGAACTTCTTGCTGAACATGAAGGAAGAATAAATATGCATGCCTTGTCCATCCAGCAGCTAATGGATCTCATAAAAGAGTGCATAAACTGCTCGATTTTCAGATGGTCTGGGAAATATTTCGCCCAAATAAAGGCGTTGGCAAAGGGACAACGATTGGCACCAAGCCTTGCCATTGCTTATGTCTAAGATAGAAGCCCCTGTTCTCGATCTCCGGCCACTACTCCACTGCAGATATGTAGATTTGTTTTGCCGTCTTCTCTACGCAGGAGGAGATGGACAAATGCTTTGAATTATTGAACAAACAGTCCGAGTACATAAAGTTCACCCGGGAAAAACCGAGAGAAAACTGGCTTCCGTTTTTGGACGTTCAAATAAACCTATCAAGTAGCGGTTACCTGACAAAGTGGTATCGAAAACCAAGTAACAAGAACATTCTGTTAATTTCCTTTCTTCCCACCCTTCACACACAAAGAGGGCGATTGTGAGAAACATGTTTCGAACAGCCACCTCTGTGTGCACTACCAGGGAACTAAAGGTAGAATCGCGCGACTTGGCTCGGCAAATAGCCATCTCCAACGGCTACGAAATAGTAACCCCACGAGATAAGTTTAGAGGGAGAGCGACGCGCCCACGCGAAACACTTGGCCAAAAGAAAGTCCCGTTTATGTTGCCTTTTATAAGCGATGAAGTAAGCGTAGCTATAAAACGATTCTTAAGAAGTGCAGGTCCAGAGGAATCGGTAGCGATAGTTGAAATACCACCGGCTACTCTACGTCGCCAATTAGTTCGCAACCGCCTGTATGAAACCCCTATGTCTGTGTGAAACAACAAATTGCGTAATTAGCCCTTACGGCAGGGACGGTGATTGCATGAGTTCAGGTACGATATGCCTGATCTCTTGTAAAAATTGCGGAGATGAATACATTGGCGAAACGGGGAAACCTTTGTGTATCCGTATAAAAGAACACCTAGATGGCAAACGAAAACTAAGACGAAGCACCCCACTAGGCACGCATAGGATACAAAAGCATAGCGGAGACGATTTTGAAGTAAAAGTCAATATCCTTGCACAGGAGTCCAAAACACCAGCGCGAAAACTCCTTGTGGCTTTTTGGATCAATGCCAAAAACCCTACAATGAATAGCAGGGATGAATGCCCGGAGGTCGTACGCGACCTGATCCCGTACGTTCGCATCGATTTTTGATATGGGATGGTGCAGTCGTCAACCACATGCGACTATAATCAGCTGTTNGCGCGACTTGGCTCGGCAAATAGCCATCTCCAACGGCTACGAAATAGTAACCCCACGAGATAAGTTTAGAGGGAGAGCGACGCGCCCACGCGAAACACTTGGCCAAAAGAAAGTCCCGTTTATGTTGCCTTTTATAAGCGATGAAGTAAGCGTAGCTATAAAACGATTCTTAAGAAGAGCAGGTCCAGAGGAATCGGTAGCGATAGTTGAAATACCACCGGCTACTCTACGTCGTCATTTAGTTCGTAACCGCCTGTATGACCGCCTGTGTGAAACAACAAATTGCGTAATTTGCCCTTACGGCAGGGACGGTGATTGCATGAGTTCAGGTACGATATACCTGATCTTTTGTAATGATTGCAGAGATGAATATATTGGCGAAACGGGCAGACCTTAGTGTATCCGTATAAAAGAACACCTAGATGGCACCCCACTAGGCACGCATAAAATACAAAACCATAGTGAAGACGATTTTGAAGTAAAAGTCAATATCCTTGCACAGGAGTCCAAAACACCAACGCGAAAACTTCTTGAGGCCTTTTGGATAAATGCCAAAAACCCTACAACGAATAGCAGGGACGAATGCCCGGAGATCATACGCGACCTGACCCCGTATGTTCGCATCGATTTTTGATGTGGTTGGCGCAATCACACATGCGACTATAATCAGCTGTTCTAAACTTCCTCATTGGAAGTCACGAAAAAGCGGTGGGTTTTTCGAGAAGTTGTTGGTCCATGCGACTATAATCAGCTGTTCTAAACTTCCTCATTGGAAGTCACGAAAAAGCGGTGGGTTTTTCGAGAAGTTGTTGATTATGTAATTACCAATAAGTTTTTCGTCTTTTTGTAAGTGTTATTGAAGCGTTTGGCCTAGTAGATTGTATATCACTATACCCTTCCAGGCTCTGAAGAGGGCGATACTGCCGAAACGTTAGCTAGTGTTGTATTGTATTGTGTTTTTCTATGGAAGCAAATGTATGCTGTTTAAAAACCTCGCGACTGCTGAACAAGAAAACGACGCACAACATACAATGTATTAACAATACAGAAATAAACAAAAGCACAGCAAACATTACAAACGGAGCGATCTTGTTTGACTGAGGGAGAGTGGAACCAGTAAGATTCACATAAATTCACAGCATATGCAACTATAAATTAGTCACCGCTCCACACACACGGTTACATAAAATTAGGCCTTCGTGCAAGTGCTTCTTAAAGCAGCAAAAACAACAACACCTATTGGTTCAATATGAGTCTTCTTCAAGAAAATTCTCTCTTTCTATCTCACACTCTCGAAATCAGTACCTCGCTTTAGCGTATTATGGTTCAATGATAAATGATTGCTGCAAAATGGGTTTCTATTTTGAGTAAAGAATTTCGAATTCGCCTGCAATGGCGAGCATTCTAGCATATTAAGGTATGACTTTCACCACTGGAAAACTCTAGAAAACTACTTGTTTTAATTTCATGTCCACACCCTCTTCCTTTTACAATAGAAAATTCAGGGAAGTTGGTCCGAAAACATAGATCATAAGTGATACCAGAAAATAAACAATAAATGGAGCAATTTTCCGAAACCATTTCCTGAAGATGCACCGCGTGATTTGTCAAAGTTCCATAAATGGCCAAATAAATCGAAAAATTGAACCTGCCAGCACTTTCCGTTGTGTTCTAGAGGTAGAAGGTGCCACTTCGTCGTCTTTATGTATGGATCTATTCTTCTCAACCAACATTCTTCCACATCACGAGAACGCTCGTACTAGCACGAACGAGTCAATGTTGACCACAATATCCACTGTGTTCTAGCGGTGTCCATTGTCTTCTGGAGATCAACTTTATGTACAGATCTTTTGTTCTCAACAAGTGTTCAAACATTTCACGAGAACGCACGTACAAGCATAAACCAGAACAACGTTAAAACTACTTTGCATAGAAAGATATCAGCGAAAATACTCCGCCTCACAACCTGTTGTATTATTAGTAATGAATAAGAAACCTTTATGGACGATAGATGTATTAAGAAATAAATCTCTTCTGTAACAACCTATGAAAAAAGTTATTTTTTAACTTTAGCAATTTTTGCCTTCGTTTTATCTCTTCCTATAGCTTTCTTCGCATCCTCATCGGAAAACGTAAGGGTAGGAGAAGTGAAACTGAAAGTAACTAAGCAAACAACGAAATACTTAGCAAATAAAAATTGCCTAACATACTCGAACAATTTGTGGGAAATAATTTCGTTCGCACGCAATTTGTTCATTGTCGCTTCTTCATTTGCCTCAGTATCTCTCTCAGCTTCACTGATACAGGGTAACCAAGTTGGCATAGGCCCGACCTCAAAGAAAATTCCAAGCAATCAACCAATTTCCAAATAATACAACTATGAAGGGAAATAAGAAGGATGCGAAGTGATGAAGATTTATTATATAATCCCTCCAATTAAAACATACCTTAAGCTTCTTTTCTGGTTGCAAACAATCCTTTAGAAGCAAAATATTTCCTATGTCTCCAGGAACACTACCTTTGACATAAATAACTTGGTTGTCGACGTTCATCCTAACGACCTATTAGAGGATTATCAATGCTACTACCACATATTACCATGCAGCATTTGAACTAACCTCAAGCCCGCTTACTGTGACCCATTCATATCCCATATGGCCAGGCATACGCTTTCCAGGCCATACGCGTGCATCACCTACCGATCCAATTGAACCGATCCGGCGATGTGACTTGGTGGTACTTAGTAAGATCGATCATAATGCATAAACAAAGAAGAAAAAAGAAACTCACTTTAGAGCTGGTTGGCCTCTCATGCCCCATCGGTGCATCCCACCTTGGAATCCCCAATCAATAGACTTTCCTGTAGCTGTCACATACTGCCCGACAATGAAGTGTCGAACATCCAACTTCGTTCCTATTGTAGGCAAAGCGTCCTCAGAAACCTGAAAGTAGGACATCCTAACCATATCTTCAAGTAAACCAAGCCAGTCTTTTGCGGTTGTTCGAAAAATAACGAGTACTTGGATACGATTTACCCATAAGCCATTGAGTGAAACAAAAATAACTAGACCTTTCTTACGTTACTTAAGTCAGGTTTAATACATGAAAACACCCGAATGAGCAACGCTACATCTTCGCGAAATATCTCCGTTTTGATTTTTTTAAAATTACTACCTGCACTTGGAATTAATGATTAGAATTTTCGATACTTTCTGGACAACCTAATCATAACGTCATAGCTTACAGAATTTCTGTACAGTAAAGCCTACCAAGAAAGACCCCAAATGTTTCTTGGGAGGGATGCAAGCCTTAGCAAACTGTTTGCGATAGAGATGAGTGTAGATGTTAGCATCACCGTCAACAGCTCCAACGGTGACCTGAAATTATCAACAGGATAGTTATAGAACGTTATTGAATTCCTAAAACGATACCTTCCACAGCGGACCTTCTCTATTAAACGCCTTCCGTTTTCCGATTATGCTCTTACGGTACCAATCTTCTGGTGATACAACGCTGACAATATGATTCTAAAAACAATAGCAACCTGTTCAGAAGTACTCTCTACAATAACGCAGTATAACAAGATCAGAATTACTTTTTGACCACGTTAAGCACTTTACTTAACGCCTACTACAATTTTCAAGGGCAGGGTATTATGCGAAATCAACCGCAATGATGCTGAAATACTTGCAAAACTCCGGACCGCAGGTGTATGCGGCAGAGATCAAACACGCTATTACCCTTTCCGGACTCTAACGCTTTCACTACCACACCATACGCTTCCTTCGTTTCACCTTCCTTTCAGTTAGTTTTATATGTTACACTAATGTAATCAGCAATCACCAGTGATTGGGATTGATCTGGGGATCCCAAATCGGCATTAAACCCAGTCAAGTTGAGGCTACTTTTTGACTGACGAAGTATAAGACTGAATTTATAACGCTACCGTGACTTGGCTTGACTTAACTTGTTTTTTTTAACTCTTTGCCAGAGTTAGTTTTAAAAAAATACTCGATTATTTTGTTTTGCAACTCTTAAAGTGGAATTCCTGTCTTTTACATTTCACAGAAAAAGAAGAAACAAGTAAAGCAACTGCTTCACAGGTAACAATATTTCCTTCTACAATATAGTTACTAGGCATACTTTATGATAACATAATGGAGTCCTTAATAAATTCGCTCTTCATTTGCAATTGGCATAGCTCAATCCTGAAATTCCTTTCAGTATTCTCCCTGGGTGGTGGCACAGTCGAGAACTGATACTGGAAATATCACGCTGGTTGGAAAATTTGGCGAAATAAGTTCGCGTACTTGACAAATCTCCAAAAGAGTGCATAGTATTCGTTCACCATATGTTGTCCACTGAGGCATCATTCCTATTTTGCGAGCAACCAGTCCTTCAAAAAAAGGATAACTCACGGATAGCAAGCAATGGCGATAAAACACAGATACGAAAAACAAAGTTCTTATAGACAAGCTGAAAGCCTCCCTGCTGCTCACTTAGCAGAAAAGATACCCAAAATTGCTTTTGTTCCTTAAAATTTATGGCTAAACTAGAGTGTAAATTTCATGTACATTTTTTATGTGAATAAAGGATAAAGGATAAAGCTCTTGGCGTTGATCAATCCTTGAGAGATGTGCCATGCATTAGACTTCATTAAGCACCGTTGGAGGTGATTGAATGCATATATGGCCTTTACAATGATTCGCCGTGGCCTACCAATGTATCGAGCCTGTGGTGCTATCTCCAGACAAATCTGATACCAATTAGCTAAGCCCGAAGGAATGGAACGCTTGGTGAGATACGGGCGAGGGATCCATCCCATGTGTATTGTACTGTAATGTGTCCATTTATAACAAACACCCGTAATCACTCACCTACTCTACGTGTTGTTGGTCCTATATCTGTAAGTTTACTCTCGCTATATTGTGAGCACTCAGCTGCCAGGTTAACATACAAGCTCTTTTCAGCACAGATTACATCTTGGATAAGAGCACTGCAAAGAAAGTAGAAGGAAAGATAAACAGACGACTGGAAATGATAGAAACATTCACCGGTTCTCGTCGTCCAACAAGTCCGCATGACTTCCCTCATATACAGGAGGAAGCTGAAACATGCTTCTGGGAACAGTGATAGAAAGCATTGAGATAGAAAAACCAACTTCGCTACATCCCTACGCAGGAACATACGAAGTCTAAAGTGTGAAAAAAAACGATGAAGGTAGAAGGACAAACAGAAGATCAACTAACCCATGGAGGAGGAGTTAATGTGCGACGCCTTCCTCTGGACTGGAGAATAGTTGTCGGGACAGCTGCGATAAACAACCGACTACCTTCGGAAGCAGGAAATAATAGCGGGGCCACCGCTGCTCGGAACATCTAGAATGCATGTTTTGCATCGTGGACGTATTAAAGTACTCAAAAAGGTAGAGAAATGTAACTCAAAGAAGATACCTAAGTAGATAAGCCCTAGGATTCACAAATTGAAGTAATATTTAGCACGTATTGAAGGACACCGAAAGGCAAGGAAAGGGCAATCACTTCGCAACGAAGAAATCAATTCCGTCGGGAACGATTATCTTTCCACAGAGAAATGAATAGAGTGGCTGTTATAATGCTTTCAACCAACACTCGCCGAGCAAATGAAGATGGGAAATAGTGACGTGAAACTGAAACTGACAGAAGAGTTCCATTCCCAGCACATCAAACACGGAATGTAGTGAAATATGTGTGACAATACTACTAGCGTCACATGGAAAACACAGGAAGCGTTGTCAATCCCAGAACAACGCCTTTCACCCTCGTACCTCCCAATACTCGAATCCAGAATTCGCCAGGCGTGTGCGGTAAATACGCCCAATGTGAGTATTGACGTGAACCGCGCACATAGCCCCATGCACGTGCGCAATGAAGCCATTGTCAGCTCGTGCTTCTATTTTGGAGCTGGCCAGACTGTTAACCCTTTTATTTACTGCCTTTCTCGTTTTAATGGCAGCGTATTTGCGAAATATAACTTGTGTATAATGCTGAGATATTTGCAAAACTCTGGACCGCAGGTGTATGCGGTGGGGAACGAACGCGCACTATTGTCCTTACCGGGAAGTAGCGCACTTCACCACCACACCATCCGGGTCCTTCGTTTTGCCTGTCTCTCAGCTAGATGGCAAGAGATCAATAGAACTATACACCTGCGGTCCGGAGTTTTGCAAATATCTCAGCATTATACACGCTCGTCAGACTTCATATTTGTCTCGTTTCTTAGTATAGCGCTAATTGAAGTACTGCTGTCGCTACTATCCGCGTCCATAAGGGGTTTTTGAGCGCTATCTTATCCTTGGAATCAAAAGGACATTTCTTGAGGAGTAAAGTCTCCGTTGAGCAGCTTCTGAATCCTCGACTTACTTGATACTTGGATGGCCCGTCTTCACTAGTTGTGGGGGCCCTCAACATAATCTCCATTTTTCCGGAGTTTTCCTGATTTAGCCATTGTGGTTCCCTGGAGTTCCGAGGTCAGCCTAGCAAAAGTCAGCCCTAGGTCGTCACCACCACAGGCAGTCGCAGCCCTTGTGGGTCAGAGGGAGATTTGCCACCATGCGACTAATCTGATACCAGGATGGTGGTAGATCCCGATAATCCCGACTATTATCAGTAAACGTTTATGTTTTTATTGGCCTTATGACAACACTTATCAGTTTGGGGAGCTTCATTTTGAACCTACTGGTACTTCTCGACCTGTGTAGGTTTAACGTTTCTGTCTTGACATAAACAGCATATTTAATCCCGATGTGCATTTTTTAATTTCATTTTTGACAACGCAAGACATGGTCCCTATTAATGAAATGATCACTCTGGCCGCACCGGACGCACGTGCTTCGCCAGCAACTCAGGCACAACAGGCTGCGCAGCCTTCTGCTCCCGGAATGCAGATTGACAAGTTCGGAGCATTCTTTCATACGATTTATCCCATTCTATGTGGTCTGTTTTGTCTTCCTCTGCTATCAGAATGCTTAATTTTAGAGATGAAATCCTGCAGTGGATTCTGGATCTTAAGGATATCAATAGACGTGAGAACGCGCTCCTCGAACTAAGCAAGAAGAGAGACAGCGTTCCAGAGCTTGCTATCTGGTTGTGGTATTCTTTTGGAACGATGGCAGCACTTTTGCAGGAGGTTCTGTTGCTGGAAACTGACACTTATCAAAACATTAAGAACGACTTATTCTAGAGTTTTCCAGTAATTCTGACTACTCACTCACTTTTTTACGCGCTGAGTTATCCATGATAATTATTCCCTAGATTTAGGTTATTGCGATATACCCAGCGATCATGCCAGCAAATTTAACGGCAACTCAGTCCAACAGAGTTTGTAACGCTCTTGCGTTGATGCAATGTGTAGCAAGTCACAAAGACACTAGAGGGCCGTTTCTTCAGGGTACTCTAGCTTACTTTTTGTTCAACAATGTTTTCTGCTAAAAAATCGCTTTTTTGGCGCTTGTATTGTGACATTTAGCCCATATTCCGCTGTATCTCTATCCGTTTCTCCACACCACAAAAACATCTCGGTCGTTCGAGTACCTTCGCCTCACCTCATTAGGAGTTATTGGCGCGCTGGTTAAAACTGATGAAAAGGAGGTTCGGTACCCGTTTCTGCTTACTGAGAGTTATGTAGTCCGTTTTGCCGTAGCAGCTTTTATTATCTGCTGGAATCATTACAGGTTATTTCTTTCCTGCTCTCCACGGAAATTATTCCACTATGCCTTCGAATAATGGAACAAGGAACGGAATTATCTAAAACCGTTGCAACATTTATTCTTCAAAAAATTCTCTTGGATGATACCGGTCTTTCTTATATTTGCCAAACATACGAACGCTTTAGTCATGTCGCTATGATTCTTGTGAGCTTCTGTTATTCTTACCAGATAGTTTTAGGAAACGTGTAATAGTCTCTTATTTCTAGGGTAAGATGGTAATGAAGCTATCTCGAGATCCATCGTCTAGGCTGTTGAAACACGTTATACGGTGTTACAGTCGCCTCAGTGATAATTCACGGTAGGTTGGCTGACTCCTGGTCGCATATAATGCCGTAGTTAGATCACATTGAAATAAATTCTCAGGCGAAGTCACCCAGAAGTATATCTTAAATTTCATGGACTTTGTCTTTTACAGTGCCCAACAAGCTTTGCGCCAATGTTTGCCAGATCAGCTCAAAGATGAGACATTCAGAGCAATTCTTGACGAAGATAAGTCGAGCCGTCATTGGCTGAGATTACTTATGAGTAATTTAGGTTGGTTTCTTGAATAATTTGTGTTTAAGTTCCTTGTGTTATGTTCATGCGTACGTTGTTATCATCGAGTTTATGCGTAAAAATTTCTGGCGTCTCCTACTACTGCGGTATCAGCGTAACAGCACAATTTATTTAACACTTGCTGAACGCAATTACTATAGTTATACTATTTACTGTAGTGAAAATATATTGTCATTGATCCAACCAATGTTTTGTCCTCGTTCGGTTACAAGGTTTGGGGCACCCTATTTACGTCAATAAGCACTATTTCTTCTAACTGAAATAAGTCTGCTAAAAGTTTTCTATTATAACGCGTTTCTAACAAGTACTATAAACGCTTCCATGGCGCTTCTTTCGAGTTGTAACCTATTAAAATAATCCGAACGGAAATGGCGTTCCATGTCATTTCCATTTTATAACACAATTTTTTGAGTTGGTGAATATCGTGGGAGCTAATTCTTAGACCTATTAGATGTTTAGTAAGCCTTGTGCAGTTTTAGTTATCATCATGGTATTGAAGCGGTTTAAAACCAGTTCTCTAAGTATGAAATATCTATGGGATGAAGTTAGATTGTGCAGTTATGTTTGCGAAAACTGAGATGAGGCAGTGTGGGAGTGGAGACCCATTGCTGGCGACTATACTGCCTTCTTTTCACCGTTGATGATGCTTTTGTAACACCGAGTATTGCAATTCTAAACGAACGATAACCGATTTCGGCAATGCTTTTGAAGAGTTAACCTTGGAACGTGCCCCACGAAGACGATATTTGTGAGGAAAGGATTTATTTTTGACGCCATGCTCACACTCAACTGAATAATTATCTCCAAACGTGCACACTGTTTATATCTGGGTTAAGAAGTCAACATTATGAACGACATAGCTCCAAATCTGAGCAGGAAGAAACTAGTGAGTTGGGTATCTTTCTTCGAACAAAAAAGTTTTGTTTCTAATGCCTGATTCATGTGCGATGGAATCGGTATTCCCAGTAGCAGCGGATATGTGTATATAGAAGACGAACATGATGAATGACTTAATTTTAGAGATAGATGACAAGAAATCATTACCCTTTCCCCTTCAATTTATGCGTTGGAAAGTTGCACGCCACGTAAACAAGGTGAAGGGTTACACAGACTTATCGAACGCGCTTTCGTGGGAGCGATGTTAAGAGTATATCGTATCACGGTATTGAGAGTGCGAATCTGAAATGTGTCCCTGTGTCAACGGTTAATGAAGAGTGGCACTGGCGAGGTATTTGACGCGTTAACAATAACACAATAACCGATGGACAAGAACAAGACAGACAGGAAATGATGGAGTGATTGGCTTACGCGGTATGTCAAGTGTGTAACAATGAGACCACTAACCAAATGGTCTGATTTCGTCTCGAAGATCCTCAAAGGAAAATGAGGTGCTCCCTAGTCACATTCCGTTGATGTTATAAATGTCATGCTTGACTACATTTTTTTTCCACAATACATAGTTAATGCAGTTTGAATTTCTTACAAATTATGGAGTGTAGAATGTGTTGACTGTTTGAAACTATTAGTGATCTATCACATAGGGCTTTCGAATATGCTGTAGTACATCGTCTTCAAACGTGGATAATAACACATCATACGATGCTAATACGGTTATGACAATGGAGCGAGTTCTACACAGACATGTATAAACAATGCTGGCAAAACATAATTACGGCGGAGAGCTGGAGCAGGATAGTACCAAAGAGTGGACGACATCGCAGATAGCAAAGAAGAATGGATTGAGAATTTATGACGGTCAATAAATATAGAATGTTGTAATCACTACTGTTGCAAGGATGTTATGGTGGGTAGAGATTGGATAGAACGGTTATTCATTTTGACCTGCTAGAGAGATGATCTGGCCTCAAACTGGATACCCACAAAAGGTATCATTTGGTTGGCCTGTGGACTACTGTTTCCAATTTCTAAAACCTAGAAGCTTTGCAGCTAATACTTCTTTTTACATACAATTTGCAGTCTTGCCAGCATTAAACCTCTGCAGTTGTAGTGATTGCAATTGAAACAATCTAAAATATTTATCGCATTCCTTATACCAGATCGCATGCAGCGTCTTCGAGTTTATTCTGGTTTTTCTTGATCCCCTTTCAAGACATGAATTGCTACGGATATACCAGTAGGTATTCTGTCGTATGAAATCAAGCATAGATAGACCTCAATGTTGAATTTACTTATCAACATTTGTGTTCATAAAACTTATTTGAGTTAATCAAACATCGGAATAGTTAAGTGGAGGATGCATCCTATTTAATGAAGAATAATGGAGAGCAAAAATTTATACCTAGACCATAGAGAAAGGGAAGTTGAAGTACTACTTGGTTCCTTTGAAAAACTGAAAATAGGTTACCATTACATCGCATGTGACCAAAATAAACCTTCCCTGCTTGTCAGTTTGTCCTTCGATCACTTGCGACCTTGATGGGTTAGCGTACGTCAAGTGGTTCAATATCGACGTCATGATAATTTTGCTTTTATATCATGATTCAGTACCATAACATTGATTCCGGTTCTGTTGAACCGTCAGGCACTCCTAGGAGGAAGAAAAGACAGACTTTTTAGTAGGTCTGTAGATTCTCTGGAAATTTCTACTGGCACCTTTGACACCCGCTTAGAGGGTGTACATCGTCTTGCTCACTGTATCGCTGTCGGAAAAGTGTAGTTGAACTAATAGTCTAGGAAAAATCCACTCCAGATAGCTTAGTAACCATGAGGATGGTATGCATAGATTCGATTACAAAAAGGATAAAGGATAAAGCTCTCGGCGTTGTCACTGACGCCATCACTGAGGGATACGCCATGCATTCGACTTCATTAAGTATCACTGGAGGTGATTGAATGCATATCTGGCTTTTACACTGACTCGCGGTGGCTTACCAATGTATTGAGCCAGTGCTGCTATCCTCACAAACAAGTCTGATACCAATTTGCCAACCCCGGAGTGATGGAAGGTTTGGTGAGTTATGGGCGCGGCGATCGATTCCACTTGTGTCTCGCAATGGCGCCTCCAACCACTGGGTCACGTGCCCTAATATTGATAGAAAAGTTTATATTTGAAGTATGTGTTCAAAGTAACGTGTTAGATAGCATTAGGTTTAATTACCCTAGTTTGAGTTATGCAGTCAGGCGTTCGGCTTCTACATCGTACTTGAGCGGTCGCTTACTTTTACATTCCAACTTTCGTTTCTGATTTTGGTTTTAACATCTCTCCGAATCAACTAGTAGGAAGACCGAGCGAAGGATTCGTCGCCGAAAACACACCTCCCTCTGATCCACATCATGGTGAAGAGCTGGATACGTCCTTGCAAGGTTACGTCAGGACTCCAACGAGGACCGAGTTGTACGACCAGCAATAGGCCAGGCTCAGTACCCCGCTCCCATCTATGACGTCAGGCGGTGAGACGACCGGTGAGAAACCAGAAAATCTTGGGTGGCGGGTTACGTCACTGGAACCGGATCAGTCGAACACACGCACGACACTCCATGGAGATTGTCTCTTACTATGCACATATAATGCCAGAACACTCTTCACAGACGCCGATCTTCACGCCCTTCTCGTAGCCGCAGATCGAATTAAATTTGATGTGATTGCATTACAAGAAACAAAAATCATGAAGACCGACATATGCCAACTAAACAACGGGACCCTTGTGATCCGTGGAGAAAAGGTCCCGTCACGAAATATCGGTGGTGTTGGCTTTGTCGTCCACCCGTCCACTGCCCATCCGACTCACGCGTGATCCTTTCCCCTCGCATAGCCGTCCTCCGTCTTTAACTGTCGCATCATAAGAAGATCACTATCATCAACTGCTACTCACTGACCGACGCAGCTGATGAGTACGAATTAAATCTGTTCTATTGTCAGTTGGAAGAAGTCATCCGCAATGATGAAGCATACATAAATTTGTTGTTGGAGACTTCAACCCCAGAATAGGAGAGGCCAACGAGAATGGTTACAGGATCGGAAATTCTGGATAAGAGGAGAGAATAGAAAATGGGACTTCTGTCAGCAGCACGTCTCTTCCATGGAAACTCGCTTTTCCAGAAGAAAAAAAGTCACCCCTGGACATGGGAGTTTCCCAACGGCATGACTCATGCAGAGATCGACCATATTCTGACAAACAGAAATGGTGCCTACTTGACACATCGGTAGTCCCGTCATTCTATAATGGTTCCGATCACTGCCTTCTTTGCGCGAAGATTCGATTCAGCCGCAAGCTGGAAAAGAACTTTCTTCATCGACTACGAGGAAAAAGTCTCTAGCTGTATACGACGAGAACATTCTAAACGAAGTCCTGTCCAAACGTGACTGATTTGTTAAAGAAGACCCAACCGAAGACTACGAGTTGCTTGTCGAAGAACTGAAAAGATGTGCCGAGTTAGCTTCAATTCCTCAAGCATGAAGATCGGATTACATCTCCATCACTATTAAGCAGTTGCTCGAAAAGAGAAGGAAACTGGAGCTTGATCCTGCTGCAACACGTTTAACATGGCTAGTAATAAATGCCAGCTGTCGAAGAGCTTTGCAGGTAGATCTACAACGGTAGAAGCAGAAGAAAATACTGGAAGCAGCAGAGAAAAGAAGCACTCTGTAAAAATGCCGTCGGGACTTGTGTGATTATAATGTTCCGCTGTCAGCTCTGATGAACGAAGATGGGATCGTCAAAACTTCCTACAATGATATGGAATTAATGGCGGAAACGTTTTACACCAACCTTTTCCGTTCCACAATCCCCGTCCCGGGTCCTAATATCCCCGCTGGAGAAAAGCCACCTGGAATTCTTCCGTCGGAGGTTCGAGTTGCGATAGAAAGAGTGAAAAGAGGTACAGCTCCAGGATCCGATAATATCACTGCCGATTTCCTTAGAGCTGGAGGCACAATTTGCATGTACTTCTCGCAGATCGTATGACAGGCTACCTCCAGAAGGAGAGAATCTCAGACCAGTGGGGGACGTCGCGCCCGGTCATCCTGACCAAGAAG